GAGAGGGAGAAGCAGGCTCCCCTCTGAGCAGGGAGCCTGATGCAGGACTTGATCCCAGGACCCTGAGATTATGACCCGAGCCTAAGGCAGATGCTTAATGGACTGAGCCACCCAGGTGCCCCCTGTTTTGTTTCTTATTGATGAGATAATTTCTTCTTGTTCTGAGGGGAGATAGAATGGATATAAAACTTATTTTTAAGATTCATAGATCTTTTCAAATCAAAGTATGCAAGATATTTTTTTTCATGTAAATAAACTTCAGATAAATATTAAGGCTAAACTCTTTAGCTTATTCACCAAATCCTTAATCTCCCACCTGTGTAAATTGTGATATGTGTTTGATTAATCTCTTGGTTATCTGTTTTTATACCAGTTCTCCTGAAATGATCCCTTAATTTGACCTTGGAGTATTCCTCAAATAGGCAAATTATGTTAAATTGAAAGATTACTAGATGATATTTAGGATTTTAAGGGGATAATACATATACTTTTTCCTTGAATGCAATAATTTAACAGTACCATGAGCAGGATTTTTTTATATTACAGATACTCTGAGAATAAATAATATTATGATGTAGTTACCCAGGATTTAAAAATGATATTAGGACATATTTGAGAGGTTCCTCTGTGCCAGGCAAGGCCAGCTTCATGAGCATGTGATCTGTACAGTCACATGGGTCCCCTTTCTTAGAAGGGCCCTGCAATTTGGGTTAGTGCCTTGCTGTTATTGTCTTGAAATTCTTAATTTTTAAACAAGGATCCCCCTATTTTCATTTTTCATTGGCCTTTCAAATTAGGTAGCCAGTCATAGGACAGTATTTAAGGTATTTGGCTCAGGAAGTGGCAGTAGAGAGGAAAAGTAATTGATAGATTCAAAATACATTTTGGAGGTAGTAGGCATTGGCATGTACTGGTAATTAATTGAATGTGGAAATGTAGAAAAAGATGTTAAAGAATGACTTGGGAATTTTTTAAGATTTTATTTGTAAGTAATCTCTGCACTTAATGTGGTCACTTGAATTCAAAACCCAGAGATCCAGAGTTGCATGCTGTAGTGACCGAGACAGCCAGGAACCCTGGACTTGGGAACTTTTGCTCAGTGGTTGCCTGAGGCTGGGGGTAGGGGCAAGGATTGACTGCAGACAGGATTAAGGCATTTTTCGGGTGATGGGAATACAGTAAAACTGGATTGTGGTGTTGGTTGCATAACTATAAATGTACTAAAAATCATTGATTGTCTAGGTGGACTCTATGGTAAATGTAAAACTGTTAAAATATTAACAGATTGAGATGCTTGGTTATGTCAAGGGGTGCTATTATTATTCCCATTTTACAGATAAAATGAAAGAGAAGTTAAAAATAAGAACTTTATTGGTACATAGCTACTAAGTGTAATATCCAGTATGGGAACTCACGTCTTTCTGACCTGAAGGCTTCACACTTGACACGTGTAATATATTTACTTTCTATTTTAAAATTGTCTTTGCTGTATCTCATTGATCAGAGGCTCTCTTGAAATTAACAGAAAGGAAGGAAAATAGAGACTGGAAAATTGTGTCCTATAATCCTATCATATAACATGGTGCTTCCATTTCCTATCTTTGTTCTTTTCCCTAGTGTGAGTTGTATTACCACACCTTATTTATCTCTTTAGCAAACTGTATTTTGTTTTTCAAATCATTAGGTTAAGGAATAGTTTCGTTAGGCCCACTGGTAGCTTGAAAGAGTGTATCTTCCAAAAACGCTTACCCCTAGGGAAAATGGATGGATATAATTGACTCTATGTAATCTTTAGTGCATTTTATGATTGCTAGGTCACTGGCATGAAGATTGCTGTATTAATAATCATTAAATGTAGAGAGGTGTTGGTCAAAGGGTACAAACTTACAAGGTAAATACGTTTTAGGACTCTAATGTACAGTAGGTTGACTATAGTTAACAGTACTGTAGTATATAGTTGAAATATGCTGAGAGACTGTATCTTAATTGTTCTCACCACACACACACACAAACATATTGGTAACTAATGGAGGTGATGGATGTGTTAACTATGTTGTGGTAATTACTTTATAGTATAGTAAATCATCATGTTTACACCTTAAATTTTTACAATTATATTTGCCAATTATACTTTATTTTTTCAAGATTTTTATTTGAGAGAGGGAGAGAGAGAACACAGTGGGGGGGGGCAGAGGGAGAGGGAGAAGCAGACTCCTCCACTCATCAGGGATCCTGACACGGGGCTCCATCCCAAGACCCTGGGATCATGACCTGAGCCGAAGGCAGATGCTTAACTGACTGAGCCACTGAGGCACCCCTCAATTATACTTTTTTTTAAAAGATTATTTATTTATTTATTTGACACACAGAGAGAGAAAACAAGCAGGAGGTGCGGCAGAGGGAGAGGGAGAAGCAGGCTCTCCACAGAGCAGGGAGCCCAGTGTGGGCTCCATCCCAGGACCCTGGGATCATGACCTGAGCCGAAGGCAGTTGCTTAACCAACTGAGCCACCCAGGCAACCTGGTATTTTATTTCAAGAGCAGTGTGATGCTACTGAGGAGTTTTCAGCTGAATAATTGTGTCATCTAATTAAAATTTTAAGAAGATCAGGGGCACCTGGGTGGCTCAGTAGGTTGAGTGTCCAACTCTTGGTTTCAGCTCAGTTCATGACCTTGGGGTTGTGGGATTGAGCCCTGAGTTGGGCTCCATGTTCAGCACGGAGTCTGCTTGAGATTCTCTCCCTCTGTCCCTCCCCGCTGCTTGCATACTCTCTCTCAAGTAAACAAAATCTTAAAAAATTTTTTTAAAGAAGATCATTGTGGTTACTATGGAAAATGGAGCCAAGAGGGTTCTGCTGACTGATGAAGAGGTCTTAAGAAAACTATGGGATTTATTATAAATGGGAAAACTATTTTGACTTTTAGAAGCTAGTTTTCAAAAGCCATGTTGTAATTAAGTGATGGTGAATGGAAAAAAAAAGATTGATAAACCATTATTTCTGAATAAACCACAGGTCAGTGTTTCTCAAACCCTAATATTCAAATCACACAGGTATTGTGTTAAATCTGGTCAGTAGGTACGGAGTAGGGCATTTCTGCATTTCTAACAAGCTCCTAGGTGATACCTATACCATTGGTTCTTGGCTCACACTTTGAGTAGTAAATGACTAGGCCATATTCTATATTCTGAATATATTCTTTGTATGAATGCCCATCAGCCTTGGTGGTCTGATCAGTTGTCAAATAGTATTTAAAACTAGGGGGTTTACATCCTTGCCAACATTTGTTGTTCCCTGTCTTGTTAATTTAAACCATTCTAACTGGTGTAAGGTAGTATCTCATTGTGGTTTTTGATTTATATTTCCCTGATGGCAAGTCAGGTGGAGCACTTTTCCATGTGTCTGTTGGCCATTTGCATGTCTTCTTTGCAGAAGTGTCTGTTCATGTCCAGGGTGTGCAGCTCTTTCTTCAGGTTACCTGATCTAACATCTGGAGAATATACTTGAGCTTTAATAAACTTCCCCACTTGTGTCACTCATTAAAAAACCCCAAAAACCTAGGAGGTTTAAAGGATAAAGTATTGAGGACATGGAGAAACAGGTCCAATAGGGATTTTCATCTCTTCAGTAAATATCCTCTTTATACTTACATACTTACCTACTTATTTAACCTGTTTGACTATCTCCCCGCCTCAGGATTCATTTACATTTCAGAAAGGACTGTAAGCAATCAAAGTGATGTCCAAGACAAGTATACAGAAATAGTATGAGGCTCTAAAACTTTACATCTCATATTTAATAGGGTGATTTGCATCAGTAATTGAGGCTTACTCTATGCCAGGCATTTTACCTGCCTTATTCATTTTATAAGATAAGGACCCAGAAACCCTGTGAGGGTAGTTTCTTGCCCAAGGATGTACAACTTAGCCGACTTATTTCATACTTGATTCTCTTATTCATTATCCTAATCACTATTTTGTTTGTTTCATGAGTTATAATCTTAATGCAGAAAACTCAAGGCTCTTTATTCTTTGGGTTAAAAGCTTTGTATTCTCTAAAGACCATGGAGCTTTGCTGCTATATCTCTGTCATTTTATAAAGGTGATGATTGGCCTGGATTTTTTCTGTTTTGGGGGTAGGGGGATATTATCCTTTTTTAGCAATGCATCTTCTCTTTGTGGCATATGAACACAGGATCTTGGGAAATGGATTGACCATGTAAAGGGAAGTATTTGAGATTCTGCATTATGGTTGAGGTTATGTTTGTTGGGAAATGGGGTAGGGAAATGTTACATTGCTCCCTGGTTCTTAAGAAATGAGAGCTAAGGGGCGCCTGGGTGGCTCAGTCCTTAAGCATCTGCCTTCAGCTCAGGTCATGATCCCAGGGTCCTGGGATCGAGCCCCACATTGAGACCCACATCGGTTTCCATGCTCTGTGGGAAGCCTGCTTCTCCCTCTCCCACTCCTCTTGCCTGTGTTCCTGCTCTCTCTCTCTGTCAAATAAATAAATAAAATCTTAAAAAAGAGAGCTAAAGAACAACATCCAGTTTTAAAAGAAACCTGAATTTTAAATTTCATAAAACACAGTTAAACTGAACAAAGAGTGGCTCCTGTTGATTTTCTCCACTGAAGAAGTAATAAAATTATACAGTCTTATTTGGTAAGAGATAAAGCTGAAATTATTCACATTTCCACAGAAATGCTAAATGCCCCCTTACATGTAGAATCCAGCTGGATAGTATTTACCCAGCCCTCCAACAAACCAAATTTGTGTTTTTCCAGACAGTGTTGTATCATTCTCGGTTTGGTTTGACCCTCCCTTCTTGCAATTACAGACAGCGATTAAAATGTACAATGGGCTTTGGTTTGGTTTGAAAACTTGCAGAACAGCCAGCTTCATCGCTCTGCAGTGGGCTTTCCAGGCTAAGGCACGTTTCCGATGTACAGATAACTACCAAGACGCTTTGGCCCTAAACTCTGGAAAGAAGCCAAAGGAAAGTGAAGCTCCTGTCGGTAGCGTTTGTCCCGCTCAGAGAGCCCGGCGCTAGCGCATTCTTCGTGCAGTTATTGGCTGGGACTCTGCGTGCCGCTGTCGGCCAATGAAGACGCTGGAGATCGGGCCCCAGCCCGTCCCCTCTCGGCGCCCCGGGATGAGGCAGAGACTGAACAGCCGGCGAGCAAATCAACGGCATCCGGAAAGCCATGTCCGACTCCGCGCCCAGCGCTCAAGCGCTAACCCGCTGAAAGTTTCTCATCGAAAAAGCCGGAAAGATCTGGACCTTGCTAAGAGGAACTGCCTTTGAGTGAGATGGTCCCAGAGGCCTGGAGGAGCGGACTGGTAAGCATCGGAAGAGTGGTGGGAGTTTTGTTTCTGCTTGGTGCTTTGCACAAGGCTTCTGCCGTCGTTCGCTATGAGATCCTGGAGGAAAGAGAGAAAGGTTTTGCGGTGGGCAATGTGGTCACGGACCTTGGTTTGGATCTCAGCAGCCTGTCAGCCCGCAGGCTCCGGGTGTTGTCCGGAACTAGCCGAAGGTTCTTTGAGGTGAACCGGGAGACTGGAGAGATGTTCGTGAATGACCGCCTGGATAGAGAGGAGCTTTGTGGGACACTGCCCTCCTGTACCGTAACTCTGGAGCTGGTAGTGGAGACCCCACTAGAGCTGTTAAGCGCGGAAGTGGTGATCCAGGATATCAACGACAACAATCCTTCTTTCCCTACCCGGGAAATGAAATTGGAGATTAGCGAGGCCGTGGCGCCAGGCACGCGCTTCCCGCTGGAGAGCGCGCACGATCCTGATGTAGGAAGCAACTCCTTACAAACCTATGAGCTGAGCCTAAATGAATACTTTGCACTTCGCGTTCAGACGCGGGAGGACAGCACCAAGTACGCGGAGCTGGTGCTGGAGCGCGCCCTTGATTGGGAGCGAGAACCAAGTCTCCAGTTGGTGCTGACGGCTTTGGATGGAGGAACTCCGGCTCGTTCCGCCACCCTTCCCATTCGCATCACTGTGCTGGACGCGAATGACAATGCACCTACCTTCAATCAGTCTTTGTACCGTGCGCGTGTCCTGGAGGATGCAGCCCCTGGCACTCTCGTGGTGCAAGTTCATGCAACCGATCTGGATGAAGGCCCCAATGGTGAAATCATTTACTCTTTTGGCAGCCACAACCGTGCCAGTGTGCGAGACCTATTCTCCTTAGATCCTGTAACTGGGGTGCTGACAATCAAGGGTCGCCTGGACTTCGAAGACACAAAACTCCATGAGATTTACATACAGGCCAAAGACAAAGGTGCCACTCCAGAAGGAGCACATTGTAAAGTTTTGGTGGAGGTTGTGGATGTGAATGACAATGCCCCAGAGATCACAGTCACCTCCGTGTACAGCCCAGTCCCTGAGGATGCCCCGCTTGGAACTGTCATTGCTTTGCTCAGCGTGATCGATCTGGATGCTGGGGAGAATGGATTGGTGACTTGTGAGGTTCCTCCAGGTCTCCCCTTCAGCCTTACTTCTTCGCTCAAGAATTACTTTACTTTGAAAACCAGTGCAGCTCTGGATCGTGAGACTGTCCCAGAATACAACCTCAGCATTACTGCTCGAGACTCGGGAGTCCCTTCTCTCTCAGCTCTTACAGTTGTGCAGGTACAAGTCTCTGACATCAACGACAACCCTCCACAGTCTTCCCAATCCTCCTATGATGTTTATGTTGAGGAAAATAACATCCCTGGGGTTCCAATACTAAATCTAAGTGTCTGGGACCCAGATGCCCCGCAGAATGCTCGCCTTTCCTTCTTTCTCTTGGAGCAAGGAGCTGAAACTGGGCTAGTGGGCCGCTATTTCACAATAAATCGTGACAGTGGCATCGTGTCATCCTTAGTGCCCCTGGATTATGAAGATCGGCGAGAGTTCGAAATAATAGCTCATGTCAGTGATGGGGGCAGTCCAGTCCTGACCACCAACATCAGCGTGAATATATTTGTCACTGACCGCAATGACAATGCCCCCCAGGTCTTATACCCCCGGCCTGGCCGGAGCTCAGTGGAGGTGCTGCCCAGAGCCACTGCTCCTGGCCATGTGGTCACACGGGTGGTAGGCTGGGATCCCGATGCAGGGCACAATGCCTGGCTCTCCTACAGCCTCTTGGGAGACTCCAACCAGAGCCTTTTTGCCGTGGGGCTTCACACAGGTCAAGTCAGTACTTCCCGTGCAGTCCAGGACACAGATGTGCCCAGGCAGACTCTTATGGTCTTGATCAAAGACAATGGGGAGCCATCACTGTCCACCACTGCAACCCTGACTGTGTCAGTAACCGAGGATTCTCCTGAAGCCCGGGCTGAGTTCCCCTCCGGCTCTGCCCCTCGGGAGCAGAACAAAAATCTCACCTTTTATCTACTCCTCTCTCTAATCCTGGTTTCTGTGGGGTTTGCAGTCACAGTACTGGGAGTGATTATATTCAAAGTTTACAAGTGGAAGCAGTCCAGGGACCTGTACCGAGCTCCAGTGAGCTCCCTGTACCGAACACCAGGATCCTCTCTGCATGCAGATGCCGTGCGGGGTGGCCTGATGCCACCACACCTTTACCATCAGGTGTACCTCACCACCGACTCACGCCGCAGCGACCCGCTGCTGAAGAAACCTGGCACTGCCAGCCCGCTGGCCAGCCGCCAGAACACGCTGCGGAGCTGTGATCCGGTGTTCTATAGGCAAGTGTTGGGGGCAGAGAGCTCCCCTCCTGGACAGGTAAGGGTTAGCATCCCAGAAGGATACTAATGCTTTTTGATGCCTGCACCAGGTTCAGGAAGGAATGGAGCTGTTTTTTAGTGATGAAGATGATTTCCTAATGATGCATCCATATTTTCACCTTGCCCTGCCTAGATCAAACATCATGCCTTTGTGAAAAGGATGGCCTGGCTAGAGTGTGGTTTGTGGACCCACACAATGTAGAGTTGATTGACTCATGTGTGGCGCCTATTCCCACCCTCAGCGTTCACGCTGTCACAACTAACCAATCTTGCTAAGGGGGCATTAAATTATAAGCCAAGATCTCAGCACTCAGAACTTAGCTTGGTGTCATTTGCATTGAGAAAAAGCTGCTAGATATCTCTAACCGGTGACAGATGCTTGGAATATAGTAAGTACCTCATTTGTCCATCTTTCATTTGATTGCTACATCTTCATTAAAACTGATGGTTTACTGATAATGTTCCTTTGCCTACACAGATCCCGTACCTTGTTCTCAGATGATTTTCTATGAAAGAAATAAAATTCTAGGTGTCCTTCAAGTTTTAATTCAAGTACACTGCTGGAAATAATGTGTATATTACTTACAAAATATTTTTATGGTATAGTAGTATTATGGAAAATTTGGAAAATTGGGGCACCTGGGTGGCTCAGTCATTAAGCGTCTGCCTTCAGCTTAGGTCATGATCCCAGGGTCCTGGGATCCAGCCCCTCATCAGGCTCCCTGCTCCATGGGAAGCCTGTTTCTCCCTCCCCCACTTCCCTTGCTTGTGTTCCCTCTCTTGCTGTGTCTCTGTCAAATAAATAAATAAAATCTTAAAAAAAATTTGGAAAATAGAGAACAGTATAAAGAAATAATTATACTAACATGAATCCCTAAATCTGAAGATATAACACACCATTAATTATAAAAGTAAAAGTAATCATTTATTTTAAAAATAAATCCAGACAATCCAAAAGAACATATGGTACAAATTGAAAGTTCTTTTGTACCCTCAGCGAATAATCCCTATCCTTCCAGCATTATTTTTCTTAAGTATACACACAATACACAATGTAAAAGGTAGGTAAATTTGTAACTTGAGAAAGGTAAAGCTCTCATTTATTCAGGCTGGTAACTGCAAGGCTTTTGTCTTGGAGTGAAACTGATACACACTTCCAGTTGTGGGATAACCACTATTATTTTATGACCAATAAAGTATATTAGTATCCTAATAAGTGTATGATTGTTATTAACCCTTGGATTTGGCAGTTAGACAGATGAGGCTCCACTACTTATCAGCTGTGAGTCCTTGGCCAAGTTAATCTCAGAACCTGGTGTATCCTAAGTGTTAAAAAATTCTTAGTTATCACTATTACTATTTTTATTATTTGCCCACCCCCAATCTTAAACACACCTTGGAAATGAGAAAATCTGGAGACAGCCAGAAATGACAAAGTAGAGGCATAAATGGAAAGGCTAAGGAAAGATGACAGCCAGAAAGAAGAAGCTGTCAGACTTGGTTGCACACTAGCATTACCTGGGGACCCCTTAAAAATTCTGAAGCCTGGGCCACACCCAAGACCAATTAAAGCACAATCCCTGGGGGTGGGACACAGGGATCAGTATTTTTTGAAGGTCCCCAAGTGATTCTAATGTGCAGACTAGTTTGAAAACTACTGCTCTAGAATCTACCAGGCTATCAACACATTTATGAAGCGAAGTGTTATTCTGGTGTTCACAGAACCAGACTTACTGGGCCAGGCCGAACTTAGAAAATTCTGTTATTTCCCAACCTTAAAATATTCTATAGAATAGCTCTATAAACTTGCTGAATTGCTGTGTTGTATGCCTGAAACTAATGTAACACTGTTTGTCAACTATACTCAAATACATAAATAAATGTATAAAAATACATATGTGTATAGAATAGCTCTAGAGGAGCAACGTAGAGAAGACATAAGAGGATGCTTCAGTCATCTAAAGAGAAAATCTTCCTAAACCACTAGCATCTGGGCAGCTGTTCTTAAAAAATCTAGAGCTGGTCAGTGGGTATGGAACCTCTTTGAGGGATGACAGAAATGTTCTATAATTAGATTGTGGTGATGGTTGTATCCTTTTAGTATATGTGAATATACTAAAAACCATCAAATTGTGCATTTTTTTTTAAAGATTTTATTTGTTTGACAGAGAGACACAGCGAGAGAAGGAACACAAGCAGGGGGAGTGGGAGAGGGAGAAGCAGGCTTCCTGCAGAGGAGGGAGCCCGATGCGGGGCTGGATCCCAGGACCCTGGGATCATGACCTGAGCCGAAGGGAGATGCTTAACGGCTGAGCCACCCAGGCGCCCCCAAATTGTGCATTTTAAATGAATGAATTGTATGGTATGTGAACTGTATCTCAATAAAACTGTTTTTACCATGTAAAGATGGGAAAATCACACACTTGGTATAAAAAGATCAAGTCAGGGATTTGTAGGATTAAGGCTTTATGATGTTCCAATGCTAGTAATCAACTGTATGCCTGTTTGTTTTGGTGTGAACTTGCAAATATTGAGACCTGTAAGAGGTCTAGTTCTTGGATATGAAAGGCATCAGTAAAAGGCCAGTTTATGGTCACACAGATGACAAACTAGTAGAAAAATCATTTAAGATGTTATAGAAAGAGACTTTATTTCTTTCCAGACAAACCAGAGATGGGAGTGGGGGGAATCCTAGTGCCACACATAGTGGTTGTTTAGCTTTAGGCACATCTGTTAACCTCTCTAAACTCCAGTTTCCTCATCTATAAAATAAAGATAATATCCTTCAAAATGGTTGTGTAAGTTGAAAGTAGTCATATAAAGCATAGTGAATATATTCATGTAAGTCTTAAGTATTCAATAACTACTATTGAACTAATGATAACAATAATTCACCATTTATTGAGCAACCCCATGTACAGACACTATAAAAGATGAAAAGACACACTTCGTGTTATTATGGTGTCTAGAGTACCATAGGAAACAGAGGCAAAAAAAAAAAATAACAGTGAAGGTCTGCATAACACAAGAAGCTGTCGGAGCAAAGGGAAAGAAACACCTAATCCAGCCTGGGGAAATCAGGAAGATTTCATAGAGGTGGTGATGCTTGAGCTGAGAACATAAAGTTGAGCTGAAAGCTAAGAACTTAAGTTGAGAACTAAAAGGGAAGAAGGAAAAAGGTCCTTGCAGGGAATTGCATGCAGATGGATAATGATATTTCATGATTGCTGGACCTTAAAATATGTTTGTAAAACAGTCTTGGCAAGAGATAAAGTGCAGGGAGTAGGCAGGAGTTAGATCTTAAGTTATTTTTAGGCCAGACCCAGGAGTTTTGATTTTATTCTGTATCGATGATAGTCACTGCAGAATTTTGAACTCACATATGTATGATGCATCTAGGTTTTTTGTTTTAGAGCGATTATCCTGGCACCCATAAGTAAAATAGACTGGGGATATTGCTACCGAAGACAAAGAGAACAGTTAAAAGGCTGTTAAAATACTTGAGGAGAAGATTGATAAATGCTTGACTGTAGTATAATCGTCAGGACTTGTTGATTGACATGATATAGGGAGTCAGGGAGAGGAACGAGTCAAGGATGGCTCTGCCTGTCCCTCCCCTTTGCTGACTGAGGCAGCTGGGTTGATGCTGGTGCCATTCACTGTGATAGTGAATCCTGCCCCAAACACCTGGTAGGTCAGACTGATTGATACCTCCATCATTCCTCTGGGAGGAGGTTTAGTTATTTTTTGGTAAAAAAAAAAAAAAGAGAGAGAGAGAAAGCCAGATCCCTCTCTTTGAGACCAGAATGTAGGTTGCTAGCTTCACCATAGTCAAAAGGATATTCTTGAGGATTACGGGTTTGGTTAAAAATCTGGGGAGGATAAGAAACTTGGGTTTCGCTGGTGGTTTTTGCAGCCTGTGGTGACCTAGGTGAGGATTCAGATGAGTTAAGAAATCTTATGTCCAGATCAGGCTGGATTTTTCTCTCTGTGCTCCTGATGTGTTTGTCACTAGGATTATAGCTTGCAGGTAACTACAGTGTGAGATGATCTGTGTTTCTGTGTGTGTGCAAGGTGGTAGCCAGGCTCCTGAGAGGGTCTAGAGTGAATCCAGTCTCTAGCTCCAAGAGGCCCCCTGGGGCCAAGTGAAAAGCTTGCTCGTTTGAAACTGTCTCTTGTGGTAATTAACAACAAATCAAGCATACCATGGTGTCAAATAAAGGGGATTTGTGGGCACAGAGCTGTTAGTGGCTGAACTCAATCATTCAAGGAAGCTATTAAATCTGTGAACATTAGCATTCTGCCAGGTAATGAGATCTAGTCCTTAGCGCCTCCCAGACACACTGATTCTTTACTGATTTGGAACATCTCCCTCTCCTGGCTCCCTCCACCTTGCTTCATCTCCTTCTATACTGTCCTTGAAATCAATGAATGGTAATTCAGTGTATCACTAGCTAGTGTCTGAATAAGAGAGATTTGGTTTCTGCTGCACCTCCTGTTACAACAAAAACGTGTGCTGCATAAATTTAAGTGGCTACATTAATGTGTAAGTCTTTCTGCAAAGAGATGGATATGTTTCTGAATAATCTGCAGAGGAGCAGAGTTTTGAGTATACGGCACTGCTTCTAATTAGTTGTTCCTCTAATACATCAGACTGAGGCAGAAACTACCCATTTAGAATATTGGTGGATGACAACACTGGCTTGGACAAAGTGACCAGTCTCAAATGGCTACTCCTCTCTGGGCTGCAGGTTGCTAGGGCTCTGGCTGTCTGTTTCCCGCCCCCCCCAACCCCGCCGAGAAGGGGCGGGGGGACGTTGGTGTGTTAGGGGGAAAAAAGAGCATACATACATGTTGTCTGCCTCTCATAGAGATAATAAACCTATAGAAAGAAATGCTGTTGATTGGGAGGAAGGCGAAAAGATAGGTGGTTTTTTGTTTTTGGGTTTTTGTTTTTTTTTTTCTCCAGTGCTGCGACGCATTAACCCTGCTGCTATT